AGAGCCAATGATGTTAGAATTGTGTCGATGTCCCAATATTTCTGGACCTGACTGTACATATCTATGCATCACACCATTCCCTGTTGAGGTTCAGTAATGTTATGCAAAGCACAGAAAAGGACTAAGAAATGGTAAGAAAAGAGATTGAAAGCTTCAGCTAGGAGGAGATGCAGTAACATCTGGTGTCTACTAACATCATTCACTATTCCTCACTATATCTGCAAACTATCATTGCTTCAACCATCTCTGTACTCTGCTTCGTACACTGCCCTTTGATCTTTAAGATTTAGCAATTTTGAACTGTATTTATTTATTTGACATATATCCCATCTTTCAGTCTGGAGTTTGGTGACATTAACAGCACTCTACTCTCATGTTTCCCCACAACCACCTTGTGAAGTAGGTCAAGCTGGGAGAGAGTGATTGGCCCTAAATCACTCAGTGGTTGAAGGTGGACCAGAACCTGGTTTTCTTTGCTCCTAGTCCAGTACCTTAACCACTAAAGCCACCTCAGCTCTCAAGCACAATCAAAGTCCAGTTTTACCCCAAGCACCTCATACTATTCTATGTGAGGTAGGGTCTCTAATCTGGAGACTACCTTGAAAACCAAGATACAATTGTCTATGTTCCACCAACTAGAAGGTACATGCAAGGTATCAACATCACCTCCACTTCCCAGGTTCCTTTGCCACTCTGGTCCTTAAGGAAACTCTGAACTCTACCAGAGTGACAAAAAAAATCCCACTTGTTCATGCCCATGCCATGAAAGTTGTAGCATCGTTTCCAAGCAACAAACACTGCATTCCTAGCCTGGATGTAACAAAATGGTTAGTATAATAATTTGAATGACAGCACACTTCTACTTTTCCTAATTTCCACACCTATATCAGCATATCACTAGAACTGGAAAAAAGAGAACATGAATGAGACAGAAAACCTGCCTCCAGTGGTGAGTTGCTACTTCCTTATGAGCTAATAAAAAATTATGAGTCAAGAGCCACACAAAAGTGTCATAAACATTCTTTAAGCACTGATTAAAAAAAATAAGGAAGGACAATCTGACCATGAAATAATAAAATAATGATCAATCAACAGATATGTGCAATTGGCTTTTGCAGAGAAGGCAAGCGTAGCTTCCAGGAAGTTCAAAATGCTTTTAATAACAAGACATGTTTAGAGTAAATGTTGGAAAACAGAAGATGAGGTAGGTCAGGGCAATCTCTGCAAGAAACCTTATACCCACAAGCAGGATGTAGGGAGGTGAATCACAAACACATTCCCGAAGAGTAGTCAACATGGCTCCAGTCTTTCAGTTCTTGCTATCTACCTCCAAGCAAGAGAGACACAATCAATGTATTTTAAACACACAACAATCTGGTCATTGGAATCCAAGTTCAGACCCCCAACCCTTGCACCAAGCTGTTCAGCAGCACCAGCAGCAATGGGTGGGTAGAAGACTGGAGCAAGGACCATTTCTAAGTTTCTTCTCCTTGCAGCTGCCCATTCCTAAAGTCTAAAATTCTTGCAGGATCCCATCCCAAGAGCCATCAGGGTGAAAACAAAGCAGCCAGAGTCAATGAGGCTCAAGGTCTCTTCTGAGCGATCTTGACAGCCTTTCGAAGTTGTTCCGTTGGCATGAGTTGGAGAGTGTCCAAGGCATGAATAAGCTGCTCCCGGGCGTTGCCAATAAAAGCATTGCTAAGGAATGCTGGGAGGCCCCCAATACCATCACGCAAAATATAGAGAGGAACACGGATGAGACCCATCACCTGAACCAACAGAGGGGAGAAAATCAAGTTAAAATGTACTCTTGGGGAAACCTGTCCTCTTCCTGCTGTCAGTACCACCACTTCACTCAAGACAACCAACTTCACAATGCATGAGTTTACCAAAAGCTCTGAAAACGCTGAATGTCTTATACTGATGTTCAATTTCCACTTCATTTTTTGTTTTAAATGTTGTAGCCATTACAGCTACCAAAATATGTTCACAGGCATTTGAGCAAAGCTTGATAAATTCTTAGCAAGGGTCACAATGCTAGGGTCGGCTTGCAGGATACTCTTCAGCTTCCTCCTCTCATACATACACACCCAATTAGTAACACCAGAATATTATGTAAAAAAAAACTAAAAAATAGGTAGGATGATTATTAAAGCTAAGAAAAAAAGGAATACAGTGGTACCTCGGGTCACGAACGCTTCTGTTCACGACCAATTCGGGTCACGAA